AAGGAAAAATAAATAAGAAACATTATTTATTTTATATCGTTATATTTTTGTTTTTGTTGACGTTACTTATTGTTAACCCTTTCTTTAAAAAATTTTTTCGTTTTCATTTGCATTTGTTTTTTTTGTTTTTGTTGTTATTCTCGTTCATCTAAAAAAAAAAACATATATGATTATGTATTTATTTTGTTGTTTCATTTCTTGTTATGATATTTATCGTTGTTAGTCCTCTCTGGGAAAAAATGTTAATAGGACACATTTTTTTGTCCAATATGGGAGTATGTTACAGTGATGTCGCACTGATACATCTCGCCATCTATTTTTTCACTTATTTTATTTTATTTTTATTTCGTTTTTCGTTTTTCATTTCTTTCTCGGTGATATATCTGGTCTTCTCTTTTGTTATCCATATATCTAGTCTCTGTTCTCTTTTCTTTTCTTTTTTTCTCTCTTTTTTCCTTGCTCACTATATATGTACGTGTTTTCCATCCTTTAAAACGGGATGATAAGATAATAAAAGATCGTGTGTAAGTGTACGTATACACACACACATATTACGCAATTTCTTTTAAACGAAAAGAACGAACTTAGCTTCGATCCAAAAGGACGAACGCTAACATTCACCGATATTGAAGTCATCATTTAACAGTAGTAATTTAATGGAGCTACTATAATGATCAGATTTTCTTGTAATATTTTTCAAAATAAAATAATTTAAATTTAGTAAACAAAAATAAAAATGCACCCATCTTTAAGCATATTGCTCTCCTTGAATCACTCATTGATGATAATGTTTGAGTGAAAGTCAAAAAAAAAAAGAATTATATTCAGTATAATAAAAAGAAATATGTCGGATAATGCAAATCGAAAAAGACAATTGAAAAATTCATATAGAACTAAAAATTCATTTTAAAAAGGAGAGCCATCAAAGAAACGCAAATGAAAGGAGAATATTTCGATATAATTCAAAAAATTTAACTAATAAACTTTCTTAAAATTGGTCGATGTTCAAGTTGTATTTGTTTAATTTATATTGTCATGTTCAGAAGTTTTTCAATGATATTTGTGGAGTAGATTATTTTAAGATTACCTGAAAAATTTCGTTACTGTTTTATAAATCTAAAAATAAATTGAAACCTTTTTTTATTTAAACATGTAAAAGAAAAACTCATTCAAAGTAATTGAGAGAAAGGTCTGTTACAAATAGGATTCAACTCTGGTTTTCTTATAGGTAAATATTAATTTTGACTAGAATAAGTTTATTTCGACTCTTTTTATTTAAAACGAAACGAAAAATTGAAACATTCTACAGAAAAAACAAAAATAAAAGTAATCCAAATTACATAAATCCTTTGTTAAATCGACGAAAATTATTAGTCTAAAGTAAAATAACTAATGTTAATATACTTTATGAGAGTTATAGAGTGAAAAAGTATGGTAAGTTTTCATGATATGTTGGACCAAATAAATTTCTGAGGATGATCGATCGATTCGATGAAGTTTTATAAATCACGAAATAATAAGGTCGAATTGAAAGCCGATTTGTTTAGTTTTGTGAGGAAGACGTAAATAATTAATTCGAATGATATTAAGAAAAGGGGATAGGAGGCATACTTTAGAAGTACGTACTTCCATCGTCCTTTCGGCATACTTTCTCATATTTCCAAGATACTTACTCATATCTCTATGGTACTTCCTTTTACTTGCATTATTTCTTTTTTTAATAAAAGTTTGACCGAATGTAATCGAGGTCAAGGATTCCGAATCAGAAATCCGTTTTCACAAAATATCAAGTTTAATTTTTTAACTACAAATATATTTTTAGTAAAATAAAATGAGTTTTAACCTCTTGGATACCGGTGATTTCTTGCGTTCTCTACATTTATATGGAAAAATGGAAAAATCACTCTCTCTTGCGTTCGATCGTCTTGTATCAGCTGTATTCGTGCATATTTTGTCGTACATATAACATGGATTGATATAGCTATGCCAATGAACATTTCGTTTCACAGCTGTTTACCAACACGACAGAACGAAAAAATAAATTCTTTCGTTCTGTATGTCTTCAATTGAAGACAAGCGGTATCCAAGAGGTTAAAGCAAAAGAATTTTTTTTTCAACGACAGATTGTTTTCTGCTAAAAAAGTTCAATTAGAATAAACAAGTTGAAAACTTTGAGGAACTAATTATAGATTCAGATTCTTCGACTTAAATTGTCTTTCATCAAACTTTTAAAATAAATTGTTAATTTTCAAAAATACTCTTCTAATGTAACAAAGCAAACTCAAAAAGCTCAAAAACGGATTGCAGATTGAGGTGCTCGATCCCAATTTCCTTCGGTCAAACTTTATAAAAAAATTGTTAATTCTAGAAAATAGCATTCCACCTGACAGAGAAAATTAATCTCAAAACTATGATAGACGAATCACAGATTCGGGTCCCTTGACCGTGACTATCTTTGGTGAAATTTCAGAAAATACTGTTGCTTTTAGGAAATAGCCTTTCCTTTATAAGAAAAATCATACTCAGAATTTTGAAAAACCAGTTGCGGCTTCAGATTTCTCGTAGCAGGTTATCTTTGGTCAAACTTTTAAAAATATTGTTATCTGTAGGAAATTGCTTTTTGTTCGATGAATTTGGAAGCCTTCTGTTAAATGTTAAGAGAATCCATGTCGCGTTCACATTCCCGTTCCTCGGTACAGAACTGGAATGCGTTTTCCGTTCCTAGAAATCGAACACAAACGTAACACTCTAACAGAAAATTATCTTCTGAAAACTGTTAGTAAATGTATTATGTAAAAGGAGGGAAAAGCGAGACTTCTGGTGTGTCTACTCCACCTGTACATTTACAGTACTTAGGTATGTACCAAACCTAAAACGTTCGAGAATTTGCGTGTGGGTTTCGATTTGAATTAGGTATATCATCCTTAATTTTTGCAATTAACACATTCAGCACGATTTGATTCTATAGATCGTCGATGTGCTCAATGTTGGTTCGTATCAGAGCTGCCGGCCTGGCCTGCTGCCTGACAGGCGCCTGGCAGGCCCTCAGGCCGTCCACCAGGCCAGGCCGAATTCTAAAATTTTAGCCTGGCCTGATCCGTCCAAATAATATTCGGCCTGGCCTGCAGGCTGGACCAGATCAAAATGATCAGCTTGTCCATGTAAAAATTTTAAGAAAATTTAACGATTTAACGAAAAGAAGGCATAACATTTTTCACTATTAATATGTGCTAAACGTTCTTTTTAACAAATCTCATTTGTTAATTCAAGCTAAACTGTTTCTGTCGAGATAGAATGTGTGGAATTTCGTTAAAAGCCAATTTTTAACGTGTTTTCAGATATATAACCGTAATATCTTTTCTCGTTAAATCACAGA